GAGGAGGAGGTCTTCCAAGGAAACAGTGCGACATGGTGGTCTGAGGATGGCAAGTACATCGCTTTCCTGCGTACCGACGAGTCCACCGTCCCGACATACCCCGTCCAGTATTTCGTGTCACGGCCTAGCGGAGAGAAGCCCAAGGCTGGCGAAGAGAACTACCCCGAGGTTCGCGACATCAAGTACCCCAAGGCAGGCGCCCCCAACCCCATCGTCTCACTGCAGTTCTACGACGTCGAAAAGGGCGAGGTCTTCAGTGTCGACATGGAAGACGACTTCAGTGACGAAAACCGTCTGATCACCGAAATCGTCTGGGCCGGCAAGACGAAGCAAGTACTTGTTCGTGAAACCAATCGCGAGAGCGACATCTTGAAGCTCGTCTTGATGGACGTCGAGAAGCGTACTGGCAAGACAGTAAGAACCGAGAATGTCGCTGAGCTGGACGGAGGCTGGATGGAGGTCTCGCAGAAGACAACATTCGTACCAGCTGATCCTGACAACGGTCGCAAGGATGATGGATACATTGATACAATCATTCACGAAGGCTACGACCATATCGGCTACTTTTCACCATTGGACAGCGACAAGCCTGTATTGCTCACTCAGGGCGAGTGGGAAGTCGTTGATGCGCCTTCTCGCGTGGACCTGAAGAACAACCTGGTGTACTATGTTTCAACTGAGAAGAGCTCTATGGAACGACACGTCTACTCTGTACTCTTGAACGGTACTGGAAAGAGCGAAATGCTGGAGAATGGAGGCTCAGGCTACTACGACGCTTCCTTCTCAGCTGGTGGCTCTTACGCCTTGATCACCTACAACGGTCCCGGAATTCCATGGCAGAAGATCATCAGCACGCCATCGAATAATGACAAGTACGAAAAGGTCATTGAGGAAAACAAAGCGCTTGACCGCTTCGTACGCCGGCTTGAGATGCCCATTCTGAACTATCAGACAATCAACGTTGATGGCTTCGAGCTGAACGTCCTCGAGCGTCGTCCGCCGCACTTTAACCCGAAGAAGAAGTATCCTGTTCTTTTCTACCAATACAGCGGACCAGGCTCGCAGGAAGTCAACAAGAAGTTCAAGGTTGATTTCCAGTCGTACATTGCCGCCAGTCTCGGGTACATCGTGGTGACAGTGGACGGGCGAGGTACGGGTTTCCTCGGTCGGAAGCTTCGATGCATCACGAGAGGCAACATTGGATACTACGAGGCGCACGATCAGATTGCCGCAGCCAAAATCTGGGCTGCCAAGAAGTACGTGGACGCTGATCGACTCGCGATCTGGGGCTGGAGTTACGGCGGTTTCAATACACTGAAGACACTTGAGCAGGATGGAGGAGAGACGTTCAAGTATGGAATGGCTGTCGCTCCTGTGACTGACTGGCGGTACTATGGTAAGAAGACTCACGGTACCCATCTGCCTCGCTAATAATTTACCGCAGATTCCATTTACACGGAGCGCTACATGCACACGCCGCAGAACAACGCCGAGGGCTATGACAACTCCACCATCACCGATGTCACTTCCCTAGCGAAGAACGTCCGCTTCCTGGTCATGCACGGTGTCGCCGATGACAACGTGCACATGCAAAACACGCTGACCCTGCTTGACCGGCTGGATCTTGCAGGTATCGAAAACTACGATGTCCATGTGTTCCCCGATTCGGATCATAGTATTTACTTCCACAACGCGAACCGCATTGTTTACGACAGTAAGTGAATCAGTGTGCCATTGATGCAAGGAAACGACTAACGGAATTCCAGAGCTCAAGTGGTGGCTCGTCAACGCTTTCAACGGCGAATGGTCGAGGATCACGAATGCGGTGCCCAAATCGCAACTTGATTCGAAGTCGATAGGACGTGAGTCAAAGGCTCAGCATGTATAGTGTTTGACGCGTATAGATTGCGTAGGCGTTACAGGCGAATTCCAATATCGTTACCTTGCAAATTTATTCTCATCAGCCATCCCGAATGTGCAGATACCTTTGAATTTCGCAGCTAATAAGTCGAACAATGTAGCGAAGCCAGCTAAGATGCATGATGCATTGCTTGTGCTTGCTGATTCGCCGCTTTTGAGTACCGGAGTAAACCTACGATGTAGGAATATGCTTAAGCAAGCCCCACACTTTGACGCGACTTTGAACCTACTTGACAATCGTGATATCGCAGTATGGTTATAAGAAATCTCACACAATACATTTGCAGGTCCAAAAGTGGCTGTCATTGAGGAAGCTCTCATCGGCTGCTCCTTCCCCTCTCGAACCCCACTTTTGAAGCTACTACATCATGCATCGCAAGCATGACGGCATCTTCGTCCATCCTCTTACATTTGCGCCTGGACTAAGTTGTGGCTCGATACATAAACCCCAAATATCGACAAAATGACTTTCAAGCCTAGCAATCTAGCCGTCTGCGAAACGTGCGGCACGCAATTCGACGTTCCGCTTGAGCAGCACCCAGAGACATGTCGGATCTGCGATGTACGTCTATTGCTACCACCAAGGAGCCAGAACCACCATAACCAGCATACGAGACACAAAAGCAGTGGAGCTAATCGATGTCTAGGACCCCCGCCAGTATGTTCCCGCATCAGGACAATCCTGGACTTCACTCTCCGCCTGCCAATCCCTTCAAAAGAACACTTTCGAAACGGATAAAGAAGATCCTCGTATTCACTACATAACCACTGCGCCTCTCTCTCCATCGGAACTCCCTCCCGGTCTGGCCGATTCTAGCACGACCCGCAAGCAACTTGGTATTGGTCAAAGAGCCATCTTACTGCAGACATCACGTGGAAACATCCTTTGGGACTGCGTTGCTTTCTTGAACCCTGATACAATCGAGTTCATCAAAGGAAGAGGTGGGCTAAAGGCGATTGTGATAAGCCATCCGCATTTCTACACGACGCATTTGGAATGGGCGAGTGTGTTCGGGTGCCCGGTGTATATGTGCATAGGCGATGAGATGTGGTTGAACCGAGAGGATCAGAATGATGTGAGAAGGTTTGTCGGGGGCGTCGTTCCGATTGAAGAGATTGGGGGCGAGGCCAAGATGATTCAATGCGGTGGGCACTTCGAGGGTAGCTCGGTGTTGTGGTGGGATCGGAAGCTTTTCATTGCTGATACGTTTATGAGTGTACCTGTCAGTCCTCCGATTCTCTCATGAATGTAGTCACGGTTGCTAACAATCGTGATAGTCTGGTTTCAACAACGCGCACCGCGTGCCGGATACGACGTCGTACTCGTTCATGTGGGCGTACCCTAATATGATCCCACTGACGCCCAATGCTATCCATGGGATTTGGAAGGCGATCAAGCCGTTCGAGTTTGACAGTACGTATGGAGGATTTCCGGGACAGAATCTAAAGAGGTCGGATCTGAAGAAGCAAGTGCTCGAGAGCATGAAGATCTTCCTGCGGAGGAGTGGACATGAGAACGCAGATGTGTATGAGGAGAGTGTTTGACAGGAAGAGAACGTAAACTAGCATGGACTCAGAAGATTAACTAACATATTCTCTTGTTGTTGACGGAGTATAATGGCATAAACTAAAAGGACATAGGTATATTAGAAAGCCGCAGCACTCTACTAGGCTGTTTGAATTGGTCGCGAGAAGCGCCTACAGTAATACCTCTTCTATTTTTGTAGGTTCGCTTACACTTGACTCTATATCCTTTTTGTCGCGTTGTGCGTCTAGCGGTTAAATCTGCTGCTCTGATGTAGCTGCTTTTTAGTAAGAGATTAGGCGTGTAGGGGGTGCATCCTAGCGGCGATTTAGAAGATTATACTCCTTGAAGACTAATACACGCACACGTTAGTTATTGCAAACGTGGTCATCATGCAGAGCGAGCCTCTAAGTACCTTGTCTGGACGCTTGGAAGCTTTGGCACTTGTGGTTCCAGGATACCATGTCACTGACTATGCTACTTTGCCGGAGCTAGAAAGACTTCAGCTTCTTAGTTTCCACCGATGAACGATGTACCTACGGAGCTCTTTCGGTGGAGCAATTGGAACCTTAGTACGCGACATTGCATATAGCGTAGGGATTGGTTGTTGCATAATGCTAAGGGTGTGGGGGGGTCTTGGAGCATCCGCTTGGCTGTTCGATGGCAAGAGGAGAAGAGAGAGAGAGATGGAAGTTTGGAGTGATGCATACGTTTAAAGGAGCCATTTACCCCTAAGGAAAAGGAAAACACCAACACAGTGGGTATATTTAGTTGCATGTTAGCGCAGTGACGTTTGCATGTGATGTGAGGCCAGAAAAAAAGCAAAGCGACACCAGCTTCCAACGCGCGCGATCTTCGAGATGCGAAGACCAATTTAGTTGTACCATTCGAGATGCCAAATTTACAGGACGTACGTTATTGACTTCTATGCCTCAAAACAGTCCCACCGTCACATACACGAAGTTGGAGAGGTTCGTGTTTCGTCGTCGTAAAACACACGGACCCACACCATTTTTTGCTGATTGCCCCAAAATCCAAAAGGAATTTCGCAGATATGTAGCTTTTTGTAGCGTAGCGAGTGATGTCTAAACTGCCTAGGTAGATATATCCAGTCTCTTGTGACTCAGGCAAGCTCATTTCGGAAGATGATGTTGAGAAAGGGTATATAATTGCTTTCTCCACCACCCTGCATAGTGCAACGAACGGTAGACAAACTTAAGTGCGCTACGATACGGTTGGTTCGGAACATTCGGCGATGGTCTTGTGTGGCTAACGTGATCTAGGCAGTAGCACCGAAGTACCGCCGCTGATGATGCGGAGACACCTAGGTATACCTAGGTAGTCTCAAGGTGTGCTCAGCAACCGTATGTACGCTTCTCTCGACTTACTCTATTCACAGTGACAAGAGGATAGATTATTTGGGACATACTCCATAGCAGTGAACGGCGCTTGCATCAATTCGTTGATTTGCACGGTCTACGTCAGCTGTGTTAAGCCCTGCATGAGGTGGCACCTGCACCTAGCTCACCCACCATCTGCCCGCTCCTTCCCTTCATCAATCGCTCTCACGCTTCGCTCCTATGAAGATACCACCCACAGCGAAGAAGGCCGCCATAATTGCGAACATGTCGTTACGTTTCGGCACCGGGACGCACACGACCATGAGGAGCGCAAGCAGAATACCAAGCACACCGAGCACAACAATACGGTTTTTCTCAGATTCGATGCAGCTCAGAATACCCAAGCATATTGCTAGGAATACTGGTACATATATTCCGGTGAGTATGTTGGCGACCATTTGTATCTTGTCCAGCTCAAGGTATCGCTGGGATGCAACGCCATCCTCAAGAGATCGTTGTCTTCGGACGCGAGTGATGAACCGCGTCACGTACGTATTGACTGATTCGAGGTGCCGAATCACGAAAGCAGTCAACATGTCTTGCTCATCTAGGTCGCCGTCCTTAAAAGAACATGCATCGGCATGCGACGGAACCTGGGTATACATGGCCGCCTCTTCCTTGGTTGGTCCAAACAGACCATCCTCGAACAAACTCTTTCGAGCAGCGAAATGTCGAGCATAGACGTCGGACTGGTGAGGTAAGTTGGCAACATGGGTTGCAAGACAGAGATCTTTGCCTACATCGCCACCGTCAGCACGATCCTTGGCGCACAGAATCGGCCAAAACCTACTGTATTGCCGGACCGAGATCTTTAGAGCGTCAATCTTGGATCTCAAGACTGGGTGGTCATCCAAGTCGTAGGCCTGGTGATAATCCAGGAGTGTGCGGACGGTCCAGCCAGAAGTCTCCGCGCCAATGGTCTCGATAAGGTCATCACATTCTCGGCGTAACTTATCGATTTCCCCCGTTTCGTTGTACAGCATCCAAGCCCACAGGCCCAGGTTTCTCCGGAACTTCGCAAGCTCTGGATTCTCTACAATCTCGCCGTACAGGACGGAGTAGCGGCGCGGAGGGCCTTGCATGACAGCCGGAGTTCAGTAGGATTCCCGATGCAGCAATATCGATTCGGCAGTTTTGATCTTGTTCGAAGTTATCTCGGATCGAGCAAAGATAAGAAAGAGTAGGCAGCAGGCTGGTCTATTCGAACCGTGAATTGATCGCATTGTGGGGACCCACAAGTCAGGAAATCGATCTCTATATAACCTATCCGCTCTGCCTCACGATAAATACCAATTGGATGACCACGACCTTGATTCTGCCTTCCACCACATAGCATACACCGTTGCTACTACCTTTCGGCAATACAAACAAGGGCCAATACGGTATCGTCACTCCAATCAACAAGGGCGCATCCGTTACGGACTTCGTCTCGAGCCTGAGTGCGTCGTAACGGTTGTTATCACCAAATCAAACATGTACACAACATATTAGACCTCTCACCGGATGCCACGCCATCAGCTTCAGGATTTCGGATCAGGGCTGAGCACGCTGGTCGGACGCCCGTTGAGCTTGCCGACTGGCGGTGAAGGCAGGGGCTTAGGAATCAGAAAGTCATCATCGCGACATTACCGGAAAGAACTTCAACCGCCGCCCGACTCCTCCACTAAATAAGCCCGGCGGTCGAGCATGTCAAAAGATGGAGCATGATGAAGGCGGATCCCCGCATATTCCAACAGTAGACAGCAGTACGAAGACAATCATCTGATCTTCCTCTGCGCGCTTCTCCAGAAGATCTAGGCCTGAGTTCTTCGATCCGCTGCGGCCTCGCGGCGCATCCTTGGCTCACATCCTTCGACCCCCACGCTCGATTCTGCACAAGAGCAGCGTACCTGAGTTGAACAGACCACAACAAGTCATGTACATCATAAATCATGACAAGCATCATCAACAGCCTAGATGCGTTGTCAACATCAAGATTATGGACGTCAACCGCTGCTGTCTTTTCTGAGTGTTGCTGGTTTCCGGTTTTGGTCTTGCAGGCGCAGCGCAGTGTCCTGCACGCCACGGCCGGCGATGCCGGCCAGCATCAATTCCTGTTTAGCAGATCTGATATTTGCTTCTCCAGCACATCAACGTTGGTGCAACACCTGAGCCTGCGGACAGGGCGTATAGTCTACGCCGAAAAGAGAAGCAATCGGCTTGGTATACGGGTTTGAGTAAGCTATCAACCATGCACCGGTATTGAGCACGCATCATGGCGTATTTGCTCATATGCCAGCTATGGAAAGAACGGATCAAACGAATATCAATCAACAAGCGATTCGAAAGAAAAGTACAGTGCATGCGAAAATGCAAGTGTGCTTCCAGACTCTCTTGCACGACTGTCGCTGAGCAGACAAGAAAAGAGTGATGGTAAGCTATTCACACGTTGATACCGTGCCGTCAAGTCGGATTCTCTTTCTCCTGGGACCAACCCGGGTCAACGGCAGAGCCGCATTAGCTAACCGAGCAACATGCATGGGGTACATCAGGCTATCAGTGTGTACGAACGTGGCAAGGCGACGCTAGTTCGGAATCGAAAGCACCTGCATGTAGTACAGAAACCGGTGAGCCTGATCGACGCGCGCGCCATGGTCTGGAATGCATGAAAGACGTAGGGCAACGTGTGTATGTAGCCTGCGTTCTCACCGCTTCGACTACGATGTTGTCATCATTGCTGTTCATACTGGATGCTGCTCAGATGACTTCGATGCCATAGCCTTGCTCCGCGCTCCGATGCCGTCATATGCCAGATGATCATTGGATAGGATCTCAGTGGCTAGGTACAGTGTTGATGCATGAGCTTTATCTACCCTGATGCTAGGTGTAAACCGCTCTAGACGCACGGTAAGGCTGATCCAATGGTTCAGCCGCATGTCTTGACTAACCAGTAAGAGTAGGATGAAAGGCGGGGATCTTCACTATCAAGCAACTCTAGTAACCTTGCATCTCATTTGCTCTAGAAGTCTAATGCTTGTGGCAAGAAACAACGGTGCTGAATAAACTTGTTGATGGAGCAATGGTATACAGCTAAGAACATACAGAAAGCACATGCTAGCTAGTAAAAGAGACGAAGGCAACCATTATATAGTGCTACTCTAAGCAATCCAGTACCAGATCTTCTGCATGACGTTCTTCGGCACAGGTGCACCGGTGATATCGTCCTTGCACAACTCGTTCATCTCTCGCACACCCGTTATAACATCAATGTGCTCGACCTTGATCGCAAATGGTGTTCTGAAGTAGATCTTGTGGCCAGCGTAAAGTACGATGAAGATCGGGATGGTAATATAGGCGGCAAGGAAGTCGGAAACGGCCCAGTTGGCAGGCACGAAGACCTGAAAACCGTTGGTCAGAGTCAGGAGCGACACTACGCCGAGAACAAAGTATGTAAGATATGGCTGGAACGGTGTGCGGTAGGGGAGAGATTCGAGCAAGTTGTGGAAGATCATCGCCTTGCGGAAGCGAATGTATGTGATCATGACAACGATCCAGGCAATAAATCCAGAGATGGTGGAGATGTTGGAGAACCACAAGAAGACCTGGGCGCCAGTGCTGGAAACATTCAGGTACGCGAGGAGTCCAATGGCCCATGTAGCGAGAACAGCTACATACGGTACACCTTTCTTGCTGGTCCTGCCGAAGATCTTAGGCGCTTCTCCGTTGAGAGCCATACCATATAAGACACGGGATCCAGAGAACAAGAAAGCGTTTCCGGCAGACCATGCTGATGTCAAGACAGCCGCGTTGACGACGTGGTTCAGACCCACGATTCCCGCACGCTGGATACCAATGACGAAGGGAGAAGCGGAAGCGTTGGAGCTCTTGCTGAGGAGGCGATCGTCGTCTGATGGAACAATGACGCCGATGATGAAGCTACCCAGTCCGTAAAAGATGGCGAGACGGTAGACGAAGCGGCCAGCAGCCTTGGGAATATTCCGGCGTGGTGCAATAGTCTCTCCGGCAGCGAGCGCAATCAATTCAGGCGAAGTGATGAAAGCAAATCCGGCACGAACGAACGCAGTCCAGTAGGCCAGGAAACGCCCGGAGTTCCCTTCCACGATGTACGGTTTGAAAGCTCCAGGATTATTCCAGTATCTGAACCCGAGCCGGCCTTGGTCGTTTGGGCTGCCACCTAGCATGATCACAAAGCCGAGAATAACGAGACCGATGATGGTGATAAACTTGATAGAAGCGAACCAAAACTCGGCTTCTCCGAAAACTTCGACTGCAACGATGTTAAGGAATAAGACCACGACCAGGAAGATGGTGATCCAGACAGCATTGTGGACAGGCGTCTCCCAGTACTCCACAAGAATTGCTCCGGCTGTAGCTTCAGCGGCCACTAAAATCGCGTAGGCATACCAGTAATTCCAACCAGCGGCGAATGCGAGGCTCGGGTCTACGAATCGCTTGATGAAGTAAGGAATGGTGATGCCGCGCATGGGGAGGTAAGTGACGATTTCAGCCAAGTTGTTCATAACGTTGTAAACAACAAGCATCATACTGAGGTAGGCCATGAACAACGGAGCAGGACCGACAAGGGCTAGAATAGATCCAGATCCGATGAAGAGACCTGTTCCAATAGCACCACCAAGCGCACTGACAGAATGTTAGCGATTGGTTCAGCGACACAAGAGAATGCAAACTTACAGAAACTGGATATGTCGACTCTTCAGTCCACGATGTGTGTCTCCTCCTCGTCCAGTCTCACCACCAACAGTAGCGGCGCCGTGAACAAACGGCTCTTCGAAGCCAACCTGACTCTCATCGTAGCCATACGGCACAGCCTCAGGCTTCTCATCGGCCATGTGGTGGTTCGGCATGATTAACACGAGACAAAAGGAAGGCTTGGTCGGTGGTACCAATCTTGCTTTCGCCCTAGAGGGGATGCCTAGTGGTTATATAGAACTAGATAACGAAAGCGGATGAAGAACGCGCCGGTTGTGATAGCAGATTTTGTAACAAATGTGGTGCATGGGCCGGCGCGAGAGGAGGATTATTCCACGTTCGCGGTTCGGACCTACCCAAACATGGTACGGCTTCGGTGGCCAAGTCCTTATCGAACGTATGGGACGACTGTAGCCCAGACCCTTGTCAGAACGGGTTCTGAGGAACCAATTATCGTTGGCTAGTGCAGACTACCGGTAGGAAAGGCGGGGGAAAATGCCTCGAGCGCTGTGATGGTTGCAGCCCGTTGCTTAACTCGTATGATGACGTCCCCTCTGCGCGGCGCGCATTCCTTCGGGTTTACTTCCTTGCGCCACGGGCATTGTTCATCTGTTGGGGTTCGAGATGCGCCCTACGCGTGGAGTGACATGAAAGAAACTGAGCCGACGTAAACCGCGCTTGTCGTGTGCATGAGGCTCAAACTGGGCGTGTCCAGAGCTCAGACAAGCTTCTGGAAATACGCCTAGAAGGCTTAGCGCTCGAGGTACCCGCCGCTGGTTTGCGAGCTGGGTCTGGGTAGAAATGGAGCTGGTCATGGGGCGCATGGAGACTGCCCAGGTGCACTGACTGACAGTTCACTGCAAAACCTGGAGATCGCGGGGATGGCGGTTCGTGTTTCATCCGGCGGCGCTTTTATTTGGTCCCACCGGACAAGTTGCCGATGATACCAACCAAAACTGTATCCGCCGTATAGCAAGAGACGCAGTAGTTCGACATGTTGGCACTCGCTTGAAAAATTCTGACATTCAACTGTAATGCTGTTAGGCCTCCTTTGTTATCATAATGTGCTACTCTTATCTTCAGCATTCGTACCGTTGAGGTTTCCAAACGTAATACTTTCACCCAGACAGAATCCCAGAAGCTTGGACGTCGCTTGGAGGATATTCACTGCGGGTCTCTTGTGGGTACATCAGACATCAATCTAGCAGCTTTGGCATGTACCCGGATTCCGGAGTAAAGGAACCCTCTTAACAATTCGTTCCTGGGCAGTACTTGCTTGTCGACCTTCGAGAAAAAGCCCGCTCTTAGCTTTGGTAAACGTCAGTGCGGTAACACTGTGCGGGCGTCCCCCCTGTCGACACGGTTGGTCCTG